CATTTTGTTTCAACTTACCAGAACCATCAAGCGAGGAAGAAGAATCTGCTTGTGCAGATGTTGAGTTCTGACCAGAAGAAGATGAAAAGGTCATCAGAGCTTCTTCATCAACCTGATCTGGTTCATCATCTGTTTCATAATCGCTCCACGATGCTTTCATGGCATGCTCCTTTGCTTTAAGTGTTTGAGGACAATTTGCCCTGATATGGCCATGTTTCCCACACTTGTAGCATGCTTGAGACTCACGTTCACTTGTACCTGTGTCTATAGTTCTGGTCTGCTGATTAGGCAGCCTATCATATGAAGAGCCTTTAAAACGATCATTAGACATAAACCTATAATCATCAAAACGCCGCTTCTGATCATTTTTATATTTTAGCATGCGATGAAAACGCTTGCTAACCAAGGCGAATTCTTTCTCAAAATATCTTCCCAAGTCATTATCAGAATCATAATCAACAGCCCTAGACTGAAAAGCCAGAGTTTTCTTTCTCTTATCATCATCCCGATGCACTTGCTTAATAACATTCTCATGGCTTAAAAGAGACCCAATTAATTCATTTATAGGGAGAGTAGCTAAATTACGAGCCTCCTCAATAGCAGTGCGCTTAGGTAACCATTCTTTAGGTAAGGATCGAAGAATTTTTCGATTTAGATCCTTAACAAGAAAGGTTCGACCTAATCCTTTAAGCTTATTTATAAGAATTGTGAACCTAGAGTACATCTCATGAATGGATTCATTATTTAACATAGAAAATGATTCATACTCATGGACAAGAAGATCAATGCGAGATTCGCGAATATTAGAGGTACCTTCGTATGTGCTCTGAAGAGCAATCCAGATTTCCTGAGCAGTTTCACAATTCTCCACCTGATCCGCCTCTTCGGAAGTCATTGCTGATTGAAGCACATGCATGGCGCGCTGATTCAACTGAGCACTTTTCTTCTGTGCTGCAGTCCATAGGTGTTGTTCTGCTAAATCCATGTCGATGGGGCCGTTTTGCACAATGAGCCAGAGCTCCTCATCGATGCCCCACATAAATTGCTTGATTCTCTTCTTCCAAGCAGTATAGTTTGCTCCAGAGAAGATAGGAGGATGATTCAGAGTCGCATGCCCAAACGAATTAGATGCCATTGGATCTTTGACCTTGGCAGGAGTAAGCTTCTTCAAGGGCAGGCTCTGATACCACTTATTGAACGAAAATTGCTAGTTCGATTAAGGTTCTTGGAGAAATTTGGGGAAAATGAAAGAGTAAGGCGAGATTTTCATTCTCTGCCTTTTACTCTACTGGTCTCCAGAATTGGGCCCAAATATTTCCAAGCCCACAAACAAAAGGCAGCAGACACAGACTTAGAAAAGAAGCCCACTTCAGTACAGCTTGCGAATTAAAGAAGAGATTGTCTTCTTCCTCAGCAAGAAGACCGACTGTACTGAAGTTCAGAGGGAAAAACAGAGGAACCAGAGACAGAGCAGTAAAGAGAATGAAGAGGAACAGGAACAAGGCGATTTTTAACGAGGTTCCCCAAACTACTGGGTCAGTCCTCGTCCTAGACTCAATACTGCACTGAGGTCTAGGACACTGTTTTTTTTTATTGAATTTTCCTATCAAGCAAATAGAAAATGTAAAGAAGACTCAACAAGAATTGAAAAGGAACTCTGAACAGCAAAACCCGGATCCCCAAACCCAGACCCGTTACACCGTCAATCAAACAGATCCTATGCCTCTGTTCTGATCAACCCACTAAGTTGATAGCCCTGTACCGCTCCTTACTCAGTGCCTTGCTTGATTACCCCGAGGAAGCTTATATAACTAGCTGAAAGGAGACAGTTGCCTTTGAAATTGCCCAGAAAAGGTATGCTTCCACCAGTGACCATTTGATTTGCTTGATTTCTGCCAATATATCTTTGATTTACTTGATTTCCAACTTTCCATCTTTCAACAGTAATTATACTGATTAAAATTAAAGTGTCTTGATTAAAATCAAATTATTTTTAGCCTTTACTTTGTATCTATCTATCCAACTTGATTCAAATCTCGACTCAATCCAATGTAAATTAACTTATCCCCAGCGCCTACTTTTCCTTACATTATGCATTGATGATAGGGAATATTGACAAAACTGAATCACAATTTAACCTAAAATCAACAAATTTTTACTTTGCTTATATGGCAACGTGTTATGTATAGTCAAACGCACAATTGACCAACATTAGGTCAATGAGATTAGGAGTGGGCATCGATGCGGTCTGACCGCACCAAATCGCACCGAACCGCATATGCGATCAAATCGGATCGCACCGTTAAGCTTGCGGTCAAGTATACAGTCTACATTTTATGCCGTTTGCTGTCGGTTCAAACCGAAACCGCGTTCAAATCGCAAACCACAACGAAATCATGTCATTCAAAACTTTACTAAGCCGAATCATTCCACAACTAGCTGCTTTGCTGCCAAGGCTGATCATACCTCTCTGGCAGCTTCAGTTAACAAAGCTGCAAATTCCAACATACCGATCCAGTTTTGTCTTTAACCTCTGTACTTCTTTTGCAATAATTCTTCCACGATTAACCCGAAACAAAGCTGAGATCCACGAGCAACAAGAACAAACTTTTTATGGATATGATGTACACCAAAAGAAGGGCTTGAATTGTGGGTCGTTTGGATGCGGAAATTTTAAAACGTTGAAATTTATCTGAATTTCCATGTTGTACAAAACCAAGGAATTGATTTGTGGAAATTGGAAAAAAAAATCACGTTTGGATAGGGTTTAGTTTTGTGGGAATTGATGGTGTGGAATTTGGAAAAAGAAGTAAGAAAACGTGGTAATGTCAAATTACTAGGGGGAGGTGTAGTATTCTCAATTACCATGAATGTGGTAATTGAAGCCAATTTCCATGGTCCAATTTCCATACCATTTTTGCTCTCCCAAACATGGGTTTTTAACCTAATTACTGTGTTATGTGGTAATTGGATCCAGTTACTACATTACATTTCCACATCCAAACGACCCTACTATTTCGTTAAAATTAGGAAGAAGCAGTTGTAGAAGTTGCTCTTGGAATAATGAACATATCAGCTGCGTAATGGTGATCAAGAAAAGACGCCCCACCAACATGAGATAGCAATTTTAACTTCATTCCTTCTCCCTCCCTTTGCAGGTTCAAGTCAGTGTAAGATCATTCCATGATTTTGGCAAGTGACTTGTCTGTCGTGTGTCTACTTTAGTGGATCTGTGCAAATTTTTTTTATGCTTTGTTTTTTCAATGTTGTCAGAACCGAACCGGAGCATGACCCGGTAATGCGAACGGTTCGCACTTTAGTGGTCCAACTGGCATTAGATCGTTTAAAACCCGTTACAGAACTGATACCTAATAAGCGTTATCAGTATAAATAGTGGACATTTCTTAATCAGAGCTCGTCTCTTTCATTCGAAATTGTGAAATGGAAATAAGAATTCAGTTTGAGAGCCCGACGTTTTTGGTTTATTTTAATTTTTTTTTTTGCAATTTTTTAATTAAATTTAACGACTCATACCGGACGAGCGGCTCGATCGGCTTGAGCAGTTAACCGACTCGACCGCTCGTCAACCGTTACATAAAACCGACTTTTAGACTGTTCCGAGCCGATTTTCTGACCGGGTGGCGATTTTACCAGTCGGGTCGAGCGGCTCGGCATGGCTTTAATAAAGCTGGTTTTTTGTATGCTCTGTTTTCTATTATGAGAAGAAGAAGATGGGAAAAAATCTCATTGTACACATGTTCTTAAAAAAAATTCCCAAAATACATAAGTTATAAAAAAAAATTCCAAAATACACATCTTTGGCATTCACCGTTTTTTACAAACACGGCAGTGAAGAATATCACCGCGTTTGACAAAGACGGTGAATATTTCACCGTTAAAAAAAAATGGTGACGTATTCACCGTCTTCATCTAAAACGGTGAACAACCAGCGAGGCAATCACCGTTTTAGAGGGACACGGTGAATCAATCAACGTTTTAATTAAAAGCGGTGACATTTAAACCGCATTGATTGGCCCGATGAAGCAAGCGGATTGCTGACGTGGACAAACGCGGTGTATTCGCCACGTTAAACAAACACGGTGAATACCCCGTGTTTGTTTGCGTCAACGATCCGCGTCGTTGATGCGTTTACCGTGGCAGTCGGATGGGGTGAGGCGCGGATCGTGGTTTTCTTCCCAGATCCGACGCCTCACGCTAAGCCACGTCGCTCGATCCGCGCCCTTTCATCGTTCTTGAAAAACACGATCACTTCACCGTTTCTGATGGAGGCGGTGAATGCTCCCCAGAAAAATTTCGGCTGATCTCTTCCCCCAACTATAAATAGACTATTCCCCCCCTCCCCCCACTTACAACTCACACCACAACCATTTCACTTCTTTCTCCCTCAATTTATCCGCTCTAGTCTCGTTCTAAGTATGCTTTGTGGTTGCGGCTAAGTCCGATCTTCCACATCAGAAAGAATCACTAGAGTTTTACCCTAAAGCCCCCGTCCCGCTAAGCTCCCGTCCCTTACAAACCCGAATCCGTCGAACCTCTGTCCGGCTTCTGCCAAAAAATGGACGAAGAGGCTCTTCGTGTAGGTTTTTTTTGTGTTTTTATTTTTAGTCGAAACAATTTGATTTTGTGATTATTTTTTTATCAAAACAATCTCTGATTTCATTACTTTTTTTATAGATGGGTGCCGAGATATACGATCCTCGATTGTATAACCATTATGGCCCAAGAGATATGAGTCTCTTAACCGATCAAGAAGCTCATCGCTCCCGTGCTATTTGGGATAACAATCCGGTAATTTGATGATTTATTTAGTTTATTTTATTATTTTCTAAGGTTTTATTTTGCTTTATTTAAACTAACAAATTGATGTTTTTCCTATTTTTTTGAAGGAATCACTTATTCCCGTCGTTCATAAAGGGACCACAAACTTGCCCGCTTGGCATCCACGGTTGGCGCCCTATATAGAGAGGACCGGGTTGGGTATGTTGCGCCATTTCATGCGGATCGAAATCGACAACGATCTGCTTACGGCAATGGCGAAGCGATGGCGCCCCGAAACCCATATGTTCCACCTTGCGGAGAGGGAAATGACGATCACCCTCAAAGACGTGGCGATCCTCACTGGGCTGCCGATTTCTGGAGATGCCATCATTGGTTCCACTACCAAACCCGAAGGAGGTTGGGGGCCGCTCATTCTTAGGGAATTGGGATTTGACATGCCGACCACCACACCAATTCAAGGACGGGGGCATCCACCGTTGAATGCGGGACAAGTGTCGATCCCAAGCACCCTTTCTCTTCATATTTGCAGCTCGCAGTTGCCACGTACAGCCCTCTGCATCATTCTTGCATATGACATGTAATTGTTTACTATCAGAATATTTTACCTTCCACTCGAAATTGCGCATCAAGGCCTCTTCGGTAAAGGCATCCTGCACTGCGTCCTTCGATGAGAACGCCATACCCACCTCCAAATTGGCCGTCGGATTATACACTGGCATAGGTACAAAGTCGGGGGCATCATTCTGACTATGTAGAAATTGAGTTGGAACCTGTATGTAGTATAGCGTGGGTGCCTCACGAAATGTCGCCTCGTCGTCGTTATCATCAGTATCTTCCTCCTCGCTCACTGATCTCAAATCTTCCTCAGTATCCTCATCGCTCGACTCGAATGGATAGCTCGGGCCAGAAGGATCAACATGACCACGATCACCAACATCGTCTTCTCGCTCATGTGAAGTACGTCCTGATCGAATGGTATTCTCGATTTCAGACCACTCTGGTCCCCAAGCAGGCCATTGAACGCCATCGGCCTCAACAAATGGGGCTGGTTGATCAGGTGAGAGTATTCTTCAGATGGCACCCAGCCTGCACTACTACCTCCTTCGTAGTTGCTCGAACTACCACCCCATCCATACCCTCCTGCAAAACCATCATCATAAGAATACTGGTGAGAATGAGTTTCACCGACCGCCTCAGTCTCAACATACACCTCTGCAAGGCGCATCCCGTTATCGCTTAGGAACTATAACATCTTCGTAACCGCGTCATCATCGTTTATGACAACTTCTTGGTACACGACCCCGCCAGCACTCATGTCTGGATACCGGTAAGTAATTTTTCCAAGTCTCGTCTGTCCGCTCGTACAAACCGTGTCTGCACAAATATCACAGAGTTCTTGAAAATTGAATCGCGACTCAATTTTCAGCATAGTGGATTCGCCGTCCTCATAATCAATCCCTATGTCAGAGTTTGTCACCCTTCCATTCCACCGAATAATAAGCCGAAACTTCTTGAATTTACCCATATCTACAATTTACAATAAGTATCTATTAGCTTAAAGACAGTAAAATTAACCAAACCCTTATTGTACAACTAATATTATCCATCTCATAACTAACGTAACATAAATTCAACTAACTAACAACAACATAAATTCCCTAACTAACAGAACATATTTGCTACGATAAGTAATTCATAACATAACAATATAACTACTAAAAACATCATTAGGCTATAATACGAAAATTAAATCATACTATAACTACTAAAAACATCACTAGGTTATAATACGAAAAATTAAATCATACTATAACTATTAAAAACATCATTAGACTATAATACGAAAAGTCTCAACATACCGAAAATTCATGTTCTGTGTATTATGCTCGGTTTTGGTTGCTGAAATTTGAAGGAGTAGTGGTTATGTTTTTACAACTGCTGGTGGTGTGGTATTTATAGGAAAATCTGCCTACTATTCACCGTTTTTGTCAAACACGGTGAACACCATCACCGCGTTTGTCTCAAACGGTGAATAATAGGTAGCTGTGACCTAATTTTGACCTACCAGGGGTGGAAAATGTGGGAAAAGATCACCGTCTTAACCTAGAACGGTGAATGTATTCACCGTGTTGCCCTAAAACGGTGATGTGTTCACCGTTTTTAACTAAAACGGTGATATCATCACCGTTCTGATCAAACGCGGTGAATATATCACCGTTTTAGATGAAGACGGTGAATATGTCACTGTTTTTTATTTAAACGATGAATGCTAAACATGTGTACTTTGAAAAAAAAATTATAACTTATGTATTTTGAGAATTTTTTTTAAGAAATAGTGTACTTTGGAATTTTTTTCGAAGAAGATGGACCTCTTTATATTGCTCGAGAAAAGCATGCTCTCTTTAGATTTATCTGTTACAATACTAGTTTAATTTGTTGGGCCTCATTTCTACAAGAAAGTAGCATTGCCTAACAGTTAAACAGATTTGGATAGGGAAAGACAATACCTATTTGTTTCATTATGAATTGCGGTCAAATATGCGGTGCGGGCTAAACCGTACCAAACCGCTAACCTATTACATTACGGTCCATCATGCGGTGCGGTCCAATTAATATGTTGTGCGATTTATATCAAAACGATACGGTGCAGTTCGAACCGCACCAATGCCCACCCCTAAACGAGATACATAAGCTATAAGTGACCTTAAACCCTCGTTAGTTGTGGCATTTTAGTCCTCACAAGTAGTTCCTGCTAGATGGACATCAAAAATAGCCTGTGCCACTGCATCAAGTCTTATCAAGCTCTACAATTTTAGTCATTACAAAGCGCTTTCCCGTCTTTCATTGGTTCCTTCATCCTAAAAGAAGAAAGAATGGCACACCTTACACCTACACCTAGATATACACACATCACAACCAAATCGATCTCCATTATTTATTGATTATTCCACATAAAACAGCTAGCGCAAACAACTTGGAAAATCGAGTGGAAAAAACCACTCCATCCTCAGTACACAGATTGAGGACGGGCTAAAATGGACGACTTTCAGGATCATAGAACCCAACAGCCAAAGCCACGAAGATCCACGCCATGAGAATGCCAATCACAGCAGTTCTCAGCAGGTGGTCCCACTCACCGTTCGGCGTACCATCAACCTGAGACGTGAGAAGCAATGAACCCTGATCTTCACCAGTGGTCATGTATCCATCGAGAACTCTCTTGTTCATCTCATTTGCTAACCGGTGCACGGCCTGATTGCCAGTCGTGTCCAGGCATTTCTGGCAAGTACAGCTGCCACCAAGATAAGCTGGGACGGTCTGGAGATACTCAGAGAGAACCCTCTGATACATCTTCCCTTCAACTCTCAGCTTCTTCTTAGTAACCGGTTTTAGTACCTGAAACAGAATTATCAATGCATAACCCCGTAAATATTACAAAGAGAAACAGAAATTATATGGTCAAATTCCAATAGCCAGAGCCAGGCCCCATTAGAGTTATACTGATAGTATTAGTAGCTAAATGTTGTCTGACGCTCTAAAAATTTTCAGAATAACACAACCTGGTCTAAGATTTAACCAACCCATTTATCCCACGTATTCAGTCAAGACGGAAAATACAACATGATTAGCTATAATTTCCATATTAACCAATCATTTATCCGAACTAAACTTTATCCAACAGCCCTTTGACAGGCAATTGATCGAAATACCCTTCAAACCGCATCAAGTTTTCATAATATCATTTGATTCCCAGCAACCTAACAACCCACTAACCAGTTTAAAACCACCCATAAACCAACAAACTCATGTTTAACTCAGCCGTGAACCAACCCAGCTTTCTACCTCAACAACACGGCAGATGAGGCACAAGTCATGTGGCAAAACTAAAGGTCGAACCTTATTTACCTGAAGAAAGGTTTGGGCGATAACACGAGCAACTGGAGGGAGTCTTATGATGAGCAAGCGTCCAAGGCGGTTGGGGAAGTTATGTTGCAGATATGAAGAACAAGATCTCACCATTTGCATGGGAATTCGCAGAGGAGTTATCCCAGCACAATCCACAATAACCATAACTTGAGGACTATCTTTGTTGACCAAATGAAGGATTCCATGTTCTACCTGAGATACTGAATCATCACAGATTCATCGGTCTTGTTATGCCATCATATTACACAAATTTCAGGATAATGCTGGTAACTACACGTGGAACAGGAGTTCATTACTATTACATATCTGAGTCAATTAAGTTTTCATCTGCTAATATTATAAGGACATCCCCTGGTTCAGCTTGCTTAACCAAATATTGTGTTTTGATGGCAGTTATAAACTTTAGGGGTTAAACTCGCAAGCCTAGCATCACTGAAAATTTTGTTGGAACATTTTTCTGCTAAACCAACCCAATAGATGTGATTCCTCTGTTATCCCATGTGTATAACTAGTTTATCGGAACATTTTATGAGACATCATATACAAAGCAAGGCCAGCACAGCTCATCTGGTACAAAGTCTATCCATATGCACAGGTGGTGCAGTTGATAAGGGGAAAGTAACTTACTGACTGCTTGAACAAATCGAGGCCTATCCTGGCTTTGCAAGTTTGTGCAAGCTAGTCCAAGCCGTACAATAAGGCAAGGTTGATTCTCCAGGTCATATCCATGCCAGAACACCACATTTGACCACGTTTGAAGCTCATGTTCTGAAAGAATTCTGTAAGTTTCTCTCCAGCGTATTGTTTTCTTAATTGATAACAAAAAGCTCTGGAAGTCTCCATCTGATGCAGTATAAAATCTGCGTATCTCATCTTCATTTATTCTGCATAAACATACAAGTCATAGACTGCAGCAACAACAGAAGCCAAGAAGTCGACAAGCAAATGTCGGAACTAAGACTCAAGCAGGTCTACTAGGATGCTTTCATGCAGAAGGAAATTAGCTGAAAGAAGTACGAAATCAAAGTTTTGCACATGCAGCACAAATCTGCATTCCGGTGTATAGGAATTACATATTAAGGGCGTGGAAGTTATCTAATACTTGAACAAGACTGTAGATATTGCGAACATAGTGACAGGAACCATTTTCCAGATCTTCTATGCTGGAAATATATGAACAGGAAATTACCTTTCTGGCAATGTGATCCCTTGAATTTCTAGCTCTCTGTATAGTTCCAACATCCAATTTTCTGGTGCTACAATGAGTGCATTGCTATCACTGCTCCACAAATAACAATGAAAGAAGCTAATTAAGCACTAAGAAAGGCAAATCGATGATAAGCTACACTGCCAATTATATTTGGCAAAGGCTTATGTATAAGAACACCAATTGTACGTATTATTCCAACCAGCCCCTCCAGGGAATTATAGTGTCTTATCATCCAACTCCTTTGCTATCATATCGATCAACCTCAGATGACCATTTTTCACCATTCATTAGGAATTTCAGAGTTCTACTGTTGTTTTTCTTTCCCAACCACATTATAGAATCCCAAACTGTACTAAATGAAAAATCTTGATAGCTCTCAGCCATGTACCTTGCATCAGGCGCTGAATGACTAGAAGGTGGCTCTGGAGATGCTTCCAGATATGCATGAGAACCATCATTATTATCCTCAGGTTCATTACAGCTACTTAATTCTTCAGACAATGCTGTTGCAACTGAAAGGACCAGCAGTGGTCTTGATATCATCTGTACGCAGAGTGAAAATCAATCAGAAGGCATCACTGAGAATACGCACACCAAAAGATGAACAAAGGAATTTGATACCGATTATTAACATGCATGCTGTGCAATATGAGACATTGCCACATGAAGAGAAATATAAGACAGTAATAGTCTAAAGCAAATATCCATAAAATTTGTCATATGACATCGGTTTCTATAATGTTCAAGGAGACAGCAGAAGAGCATCACTCTGCATGAATGCATATGCCTTCAGTATAACTTGTTCATCAGGAAGCAAAACAAACCTGCACGCCTTGAACCAAACCCTTGAACGGTGCCCATCTCTGAATCCACTTGAATGGTGGATAGCAAAGAAACTGCAATGCCTGAACACCACGCCATACAGGAGGACACTTGGACCTTGAGACCCTTCGTACAGCCTCCAATGCCGCAACTTTGAGCAAAAACAAGCCAACATGGCCAACTGCACCTCTACCACCACTCCGACTATGGCTTAGAGAAAAGATATCCCAAGGAGCATTCTGTGATCCTGCTTTTGGATTTCTCTTGCTAATATTTTTCCCGTTATTGACAGCTGCTACCAGGGAGTTCCTACTTGAACTTGAATTTTTGCGCTGGTTTCCCGTTGTAGTCACCTGAGAGTGCTCCATGATCATACTCCCCGTCTCCCTCAACTAAAGGAAGTCCACCACACGTTCGGCAGACATCTGTATGTCAACTGCATCGCTAAACGCAGCATAAACAGACCAAAATTATAAGAATCAGAATAAAGTACAACTAGCTCGTGAAATTAGGGCAAACTCATTTCTGGGTTCACTCTAACAAACTTTTGAAATTGCCTCAAAGATACACAATCAAGGTTAAATGGAAAACAGCAATTATCACCCATGACAAGCCCTAAGATTTGTGAGCTAGAAGAGAGGGAAACAGACATGGATGATGATGGTATTCATTATCCTTGTCCTGGCAACGGTTCAAAACCATAGCTCATGGCAGAATCAACACATGCTAAAGTCCACAAAAACTATCAGTCGAGACTATACTGGAGGCGAATTTCAACTGTCACCATCCATTGGCACTAACTATTGGAAAAGGCAAAAGGAGAGTGAAATTGGTCACTACGTAAGTCGATATAATCAAGAACTCTCAGACCACTCGTTCCGTCGACTGAGAAAGTAATTGCACAATGCCAGAGTCGGAGAGCTTGAATTCCTTCCGACGCTCAAATCAATAATAACGTAGCTCGAATAACATACCTCACCGTCAAAGCAAATTAGCAAAGGAACGGGACGCTAAAACGAACTGGAAATTCGGAAATTCTGCTCCAAGATTCAGGAAAAGACTCACCAGAAACTGCAAGAAAGCAGGCCGCCGGCGTCGCTCTCTCCGGATCGGGCGAAGGGGTAGTCAGGATTCGCGTCGGTGAAGCGAGTTTGGCGAGCAAATCTAAATGAGCATCTAGTGTTCGCCCGCAGTTGATGCGGGGACCAAGTAACGGTTGCGGAAATGGGGAAATTTTGAGCTGGACTGCCTCCTGCCTCTGTCGACTCCTCTCTGTTGGCATTCATTATTAGAAAAATGGAGAGAGAGAGAGAGAGAGAGAGAGAGAGAGAGAGATGGACCCTTTCGCCGTAAAAGTGACACCTGTTCATCACTTTGTTGCGTCACCGTCAAACCGGGAGATCAGGAGGTGGGAGCTCTCTGCCGAGCCTTCGGCAAAGGGTTCGGAGGTAGGAAATAATATGACAGCTAGTGCGGGCGACACGTGGGACTGATGCGGGTGATGGACGGTAGGTGTCATAACACCAACAGCCGCTGTCGTCAAAGAGAAAGAGTAGTTGGACTTGGTGGCGCGCCCCGGAATTGTTTATTACGACCCGCACCATCTGAATTGAGCCGTCACGAGTTTCAATTTTTTTTTGTATAAATAGTAAAAAAAATCCATCGAAATTGTGCTAGGATCTTGTTAATCAACACCATGAATAATTTTTTCCCCTATCAAATTTAATTATTTACTAGGGTGCCTTTTGTCGCACTTTACTGCGGCTTCAAGTTTATAATTGGATAGTTATTTATCAGCCCGTATGTGTAGGAGTAAGTAATCTAGTAAAAGTGAGATGGTGAAGCATTAGGCTTAAGTGGAGTTCTTATGTTAAACGATAAACAATTCAATCAATAAACTAATAACTATTATCCCTCAATGAACAAATAAGAAAATGATTTTTTGTTCAAATTTTTTTCGTGACTCCTATCTCATCACATCCTGATTTTCTTCTTCAGATCAGTATCCTCCCTTCATGTATCCTCCTTTCGCCATTCCAGTTTTCATTTAGATCCTTGTTATCCAAGTTTCCTTCCCTTTGATTAACCCATTTTGGCATACATGATCAAAAAAGAGACAGGATATATATAGATACGAATTAGATGAAATTAGATGCCTCCATCTCCAACTTTGGAAACCGACATCATCACCCCATGCCCGAATGGTGTGGTCGCTCCAACCGCCTCTGTATTACTACTCTCCTCTCCCATTTTTTCATATCAAAGGGTAAGAGTCGTATTCTCCTTAAAAAATCATTATACTTAACATGCAAGAAGATGGATAGTTCCCAGAATCTTGTCGAAGCCGAATCATAGAGGTAGGGTTGTAAATTGAAGATGGCCTTTACTTAGGTTATGAGACGGCGACGAATGCTTTCTGGGAGGCGGCGACTGCTCTTGATGTGGGGAATTAGTTTCCTTTCATCGAATACTTAGATTGGGAGAGAAGAACAAATAAAAAGGGTAAAGTTTTTTTAGCTCATTTTTGAACTGCATATCAGGATACTTCAGGTTGTTAATGGATGAAGGAAATTGGGGATTTGGAGAGGCTTGATTTTGAGCACCTCGACGCAAGGGGGAACGTTATGCCAGTAGATGAAGGCGGAGTTCGAACTTGTGGATTCTAAATGAGCTTGTGTGCAATGTAACAGCTCCCTTGAGCCTTGCCACTATTGGCTTCTTCATAAAGATACTCTTTCAGGATTGATGAGTGTCACGTAAGCTGATAATCGTTGTAAACACACAAACTAAAACATCATTAAACTTTTCAAATGATTAAACACCAAAATATGTTCTTGTAAGTTTGCAATAGCTTTTAATCGTGATTCAATCCAGCTGTAGTTCTCTATAAAAAATTACTAACAAAAACTGTTATGATCAATTTAGTCAAAATATCGCTTTAAAACTGAAAAACTTACGCTTTTACGCGTATAGGTCACCAAAACGTCTATATGCAAAAACACAGTTTTTATACCTAATGTAGTTAAAAGAGCGCTTTAAACCTTAAAAACTTACGGTTTTACGCTTCTAGATCACCAAAACGCTTCTACACTATATTGGTTAAGACTTAAGAGTGTTAACAACCTAACAAAGCAACAAAATTATTTTTTTAATGGAAAAAGCAACAAAATTAGTTACACCACTGCTAATTCTTTCCTTCCACTAATATGGTTGCAGGTACTACTATTGGGGGTCTTTATTATGCTAATACCAACCCAAATCCCACCCTAAACTCACAGGCGAACGAGGTGCGGGTGACCGTAAGGAGGAAAGAAAAAAGTGACGGTGGTGTAGGTTAGATTAGCTCTTATGGAACAGTAATCCACTTGTATGTTTAATAAGTATTAAGATATCTCATTTGTTTGGATGGTTGCAGGATTGATAAGGTAAAAGTGTTAACCATTGTTCTGGATAATGCCAACTCTAATGAATAATGATATCTTAGTGGCAAATATGAAGTGTTTTTTTTTTTTTTTGGTTTTGCAAATATGAAGTGTTCAATTCTAGAGGAACTAGTATATGTAATGTTGGGGGATATTGCAAAGGGTGGAGTCCAAGGAGGGGCATGACGAAACACAATAAGGACATGTTTGGTTACCCAGAGGGAGAAGCCCACGGATGGACCTGTCGGGCATAGTTCAAATAGGATGAGGGGCGCATAGATGGGGATGGAGAGAAGGGTGATTATGATGGTCGCGGGACAACCAATTGAAGATGATAAAAGGGGGAAGAGAAAAGGGGAGAGAGAATTGTTCATCGGATGAACTAATTCAGTTGGGTTGAGTCACTCCCCACCATTCTTCACCTGATTGAACTTCGTCCAGAACTTTGACGAGGAAGAGGAAGGGGTAATTGAAATAACATGTGTCGGGTTGGGTCTGGGGCTGAATTGGGTTGGGTCAGTTAATGGGATGACATGGCGGGTTTAGCTGACTTTACGGGTCGGGTTTTATTTTTTGTATAGTTTAAATTGGGTGAATCAGCAGTTCTATTAGCTATGTCAGCAAAAACTGACAATGTTAACGGAAGTTGATGGAAGAAAACGGAGAGTGACCAAACATGAACTTGCTTACTAATTTTAGTGACCACTAATGGAATTAAATATTTGTAGTGACCGAACATGAACGTTTTTAGTAATCTCAGTGACCAACCTTGAAATTTACCCGATATATTTGTATGGCCGAACTTTTCACATATTAAACATCCTGGCCAATCTTTTCGATCTATAACTTCGTGGCCTAACATAATGGTCAACTCTCGAGTTTGACCAAAATTGGTCAAACCCGAGAGTTGACCATTATGTTAGGCCACGAAGTTATAGATCGAAAAGATTGGCCAGGATGTTTAATATGTGAAAAGTTCATGTCATACAAATATATTAACCTTTTTTATTTACAACAAAACACAATCTATACATCCAAATAATTTATTTTTCAAATTTATACATTTCATCAATACATAAAATTTACAATACACCAATTAATTTATACATCAATTTGGGAAATCCTAACCTCCAAACGACCCTCCATATGCATAAGTGTAGTGATGTGTTGGTGCAATTTGGTAGTGAAGGGACTGACAGGCCGCAGCTCCCAGCCCACCCCTGCACTCCATAGGCCTCCTCCTCTCCAGCCCAGACACCAAACTCACACCCAGGCTCAGCCACAAGACAAGCACTGGCCCACTCACAACTCATACCTAGGCCCAGGCTAGCCACCTGACCAACAGCGGCCACCCCACCTATCAACCCATAGACAAAATCAATTGGTCGGGGTTTTCGATTAAACGATATATACTTCGTATATATCGATTCGGCTTTTTTTTTTTTTTTTTCCCAAGAAATGTCAAGAGAGAACCTATACAATCTACCCCGACCCTGCCCAACCCAATACACCAGAGAAGCCAACCCACAAAGTCAAAGGCGCATAACTCTAAAGGGGAGAGTAACAGTGCTTTCTGCGCCACTCTATGGGCAGCACTGTTAGCAGTCCGAGGAACTGCCCTAAACTCTAAAGAAACAGAGACGGAAGAAAGGAGAAGGAAGCCATCCCGAAGCACCGGACCACCAATGGAGTCAGAGAGAGCACCTTGACAAAGCTGACGAATCACCACCTCTGAATCTCCTTCTATGATGACCCGAGGCAGTAATTTGGAGACTACAAGGGCGATGGCGTCCCTAGCTGCTAGGAGCTCCGCAAGATAGGGATCAGCAATACCGGGATGGAGAGACCCTAAAGCCAGAGCCACATGCCCAACTGAACTGCGCACCACAAGACCAGACGAGCATCCAGAAGGACGAACAGCAGCATCAAAGATGAACTTCACAAAGCCAACAGGAGGAGGGGACCAAGACGAGAGGCGAGAACGGGAAGGCTGGGGCGGAGCAGGGACCAAAGGAAGGGAGGAAGACAGTTCGCGAACTTGGAAAAAACACTGACGAGCGAGAGACTGGGCATGAGGCTGGACATGCTCAAAGACCACCTTATTTCTAGACTTCCAGATCCTCCATAATACACAAACGTATAGGAGAATGTGGGTTTGGGGGTGCTCAGAAAGCATAACAAGTCGCCACCAGAGACTGAAGTTCACAGTCGGGGCCGAGGAGATGAAATCATTTAGACCCATGAGCGACCACAATCTTGTGGCCAAGGGGCATTTGATTAGGGAATAACTAAGTTCTACCAAAAAAAGGAATAACTAAGTTAATGAAAGGGGATTGGATTACCAATTTCCATAGGATGGGTAACGGACAATAATGCTCATTTGATTTTGTCAACGTGATTCTAATGGTAATTAATAAGAAATAATAGCTCACTAACTATCTCCTTAATAAACCTCATATCCCAAAACTGAGTTTTGAAATGGAACATTGAAGTTTTGAAAACCATAAATTAATTAATTCTGAAAGTCAGAAATTAATTATGGACGTCAGAATTTAATTCTTTCTATCTCATAATTTGAGATATAAACCAACCATAAAGGTTGTAAAGCGCCATAAGAGGACCACTTTAGTGACTCATTAATCACTTGTAACGGATCATTAAAGACCCAATAACATCAAATAACATAACTGAGGTATTAAAACCCAAATAAACGGACCAATGAGGCCATTAATTGGATATTTACTTCTCGTCGGAGGAAATTTGATTGCAGGACCGCCGGACCAACAAAGTCACCGGAGGCAAGTGTTTCGAGCCGGCGGAGGAGCTTCTCAGCTGGCCGGGATGGCCCTCGCCGTTTACGTCTCCCACAAACTGTCCGACGCCTCCTCCACCTGCGCATTCGTCGCCGCCTGGTGGAATGAAAGCGAGAAGCAACATACAATGCTTGAAGACGCGCATAAACGAAGAAACCGGATCTCCTAAACGAATTCCGAGCCATCGGTCACACTGATATTCTACAGTGCCATAGTCTACCCATGAACAATCCAAATCAACGATGCAAACCAGAACAAAACACCGATTAACAGGTAGAAAACTACAAAATGAAAGCTTAGAAATTATCAAAGAGGAGCACTTTCGAGCTATAAACCTCGAATCGAAATACCGGCGGCTAGTCATACAGATCTAATCAGCCGAACACGACGAGCAAAAGAACTCAACATCATCAATCGAACAAAGGAAAGGTTAAAGGGACTTCTACCGTCAAAACAGTGCCGAGAAGAATCATCAGTCACTGTTTTTGTTTTGTTGTGTTTTGTATCGGATACGGTAAAATCCCAAATCGGAAGTCTGAATGTCCGAGAGCTCAATTAGCCCCCCACCCCACATCCTCCAGGCCATTATCAATCAGTCAGGACCCAACGGGCTTCACTTCTCTTGTCTCGTCTCTCTCCACTGTCGCTCCGCAGCTCAAAGCAGTGTCCTGTTTCGCTTCCCTCATCCGGCGGCGGCGACGAGAAGGAAATCCGAAAGCAGAACATACAAAGCGGGCGCAGCCGGCGAGATCACCCGAAACGTCACTCGACGCCAAAGAGCAAATGGGTTTCTTTTCGTTCCTCGGCAGAGTCCTTTTCGCCTCCCTCTTGCCACTCCTTATCTACTGAACCAATTATATGTTGGTTCGAAATCGGTCAACGATTTAATTTGATTAACTCGATTTAATTTGAACCGACCGGATGCGGCACCCTTATTTCAAGAAACTCCAATAAGTACTAAGTATGCGATGGATAGAAATGGCAAGGAAGGTTCGGACCGGGTATCTCGATACCCATACCTGCCCCATAACAGGTCGGATTCAGGTCGGATAATTTATCATGAGACGCGGGTCGTGACAGGTCGACCCAATGGGTATGTAATTTTTGTGAAAAACTTTAAAAATATTCATTATTTTCATTAAAAGACTAAGAAATAAACCATAATATGATAAAATGTAGTTAAAGTTGAAAAAATTGAAATTTTCACTTATCTTATCTTATCTTACTATATATTATGGTGGTTTAAAAACAACTTCTTGCCACATAAGCACTTGGAGAATTCACAAGTTGCCAAGGTGGACAATTTTTTTACAAGCAAAAAAGTTAGTTAATGAGTTATTTATTGAGTTATCTCTCTCTTCTTTTAATGGTGTTTTCTTTTATTCAATATTTTTTTTGGTATTATATCTATGTTTGTAGAAAAAAGCTAATGTTTGTAGAGTGATATATCACATTCGTTTAAACAAAAAATATCTTATTAAATTTTATAAGTAAAATTTCTACTAATTTTAAACAAATACACACATAAACAATAATATTTTCATCGATTAAACAAAATATAATGATGGAAATAAAGAAAATAATTGTTATAAAATCAATCAAATTTCATAAACGAACTATGTTATTTTATATTTTTGGCTATTAAACACTCTCTTATTTAGAGATGGCAACCAAACCCATGGCCGAGGATCATTTGTTATATGCAAAAATATATAACGAGTCTATTGTAATTTGTCAATAGAAGGAAGGGTAATTAAAAGAAAAACAAAGTTTTAAAATATAATTGATGACAACCAAATTGTAATTTCATCCACTTATGTATCAGTTCCATACTTTTGGGCAGGTAGTACCAAAAATTTTTACATATTTTTTTTTATGGTGAGTAGCTTACGGGGCGGGTATTACCCATGGGTATCCGAAAAACCGCGGGTATGGAGATGAGTTTGTAAAACCTTCCACCGTATGGGTATGGGGCAGGTATGGGTTTAGGTATTTGAAAATGAGAATGGGAATGAGGATGGTTTAGGCAAACCCGACCCATTGTCATCCTTACTCTTATTTCTATTAATATATCTATAAAATAAAACAAGTATTATATAGTAAAAGTTCTAGATAGAAACTTAATGATGTACAAGTATTATATGGCACGTGTGAATGTTAGAGAAATCTTTGTTGACGATGTACGATAAACATTATGTTTCATCAACAACTAATCAAACATGGGTTGGCAATTTTTATTTAATAGTTAAGTGTCTTCTACATTACAAGCCTTTATAGTTAGAAGACTCTAAACCGAGCTATTAGGTTAAAAATGAAGAATCTTTATAAGCATGAGATCAAGACAATTTTAATAAGTCATTTGGTTGCATGGTTGTGAGTATGTGACTCCATGGGCTGGGGGTTAGTACAAATTTCAAGAATTGGCAATTGGTACATATTGAGTAAATAAAATTTAAAAGCTATACCTTTCAGAATTTTCAAAATTTTAATCATTTCCCTGCTATCTTTAATAATTTTGTAAATCTTCTCTTAATTAAAATACTAAAATTTTGAATATTGATTGTCACGTGTCTTCTCCAACTCATCATCATGTTGTTAAGTCAATATTACTAACAAAAATGCTAATGAGGAGTTAACGTTTGGCTAATACTTTGTATTTTGAAAGGTATGGTTGATAATTTTAAAAGTTTGAAAGATTTGATTAATATATTGTATTTACTTTATTGTATAAGATACTAAATTTGAGTGTCTTGATAGACAAATTTTGACGTAAGATCCTCTGCAGAGACTTAATGAACATTCACATAAACATGTGTCAAGATTAGATAAGTTGATCATAATAAGGGGTACGGCGTGTGTCAAGTTTCACTTGGGATAAATACAATTTATCGAGTAATCAAGCATCTTTATCCAATAATATGGACTCTCAATAATTGTTTGAGAGTTTGTCCTAACTCGAGAATCACAAAATTTTAGATGTTTTATAAGATTAGAAATTTGAATGGCTTGGTTGACAAACTTTTGTATACTATTCTAAATGTGATGGGATAAACATTTAAAATATGATTTATTATTAGAGAATCGAAACCTATAAAGATCATAGGTGAATGTGCTAAAAAAGTTAGAAGATTAAAAAAAAATTATACATGTAGATAAATTAATTTATATAAATGATAAAATGAAATTTTTCGGCCAACCGACCGGGTAAAAAACTAGTTTACAACTTTATTATAGTTAAAATATGAGGTAATATGAGGAAAATTCTAAATAACTTGACTAAGATTACATGTAATTTAGGCAAGAACGGGTCGAGAATGGGTGGGTCAGGGCAGGTCGGGTCGACGAGAGGTACCCATGCCCGTCCTGTCCTGCCTACGGGGCGGGTCGGACCTGCCCAAAACAAGCCAAATAGGTCGGGTAAAATGAGTCAGGTCGAAATTGCCATCCCTATGCGTGGATAAAAAGATAAGTCAGTTCCTGATACAAGGATTTGCTTTCTGCTTCAATATTCAGTATGATTAATTCATGATTTTGATTCATTTAAGGAAAGAAATCATGATATTATCCATACTGTTCAGGTATTATAGGGATGCCCATATCATGGCAGTAAAGTCCTATTTTGCCAGACCTGCAAAGGTCTTTTCATTTTTCATTTGTGAATTGTTATATACTTCTACCGTTTCCGTTTGGATATCTACTAGTTCCTGTGTGATGTACGTATTGAATTTTGAAGTACAGCAACAAGACAGAGAAAATGGGCACTCTTGTAGACGTGCATGAAGCCCACGTGTAACCCGGAAGATCGCCACGTGTGAAATAATCCATCTCAATTGAACACACTCGCTATAACATTGCCGGTTCCTGATCTAAGAACTGTTCTTTGTGAATCAAGAAAAAGTAAAAAAAAGAAAGAAAGAACGATTTAACGCCCAGAAACCAGAAGCAACAGAAACAGATCAGGCACAAAACAGGGGTGGAAAGAAAATCGAAGGATATCAATGGCGTCGTCGGCTCTCCGCCCAGCATTTGCGTACACGGTGGTGTACGTCAAGGACGTAGCCAAATCCGTAGATTTCTACGCCAACGCTTTCGGTTACCATGTTCGCCGCCTCGACGATTCGCACAGGTCTGCCCATCTGATTGATTGCTTGCTTAATTGCTTTCGTCATCCACCACCGATGGAATCAGCAAACGAAATCTTGTCTTATTGCCTTTTTTTTTTTGTGTGCATGCGGTGCGCCACGTTTGATAGGTATGCATGTCGCACTAGCAACCGACAACAACTTGAGTTTGATGCATGTGGAAGAGATCTTCTCACAGATTTTTGTTAATTAGTTATCAAAGTTAATTGATTCATTGATCTTGCGAGGCGAGGCCAGATGGGGAGAGCTGGAGAGCGGCCAGACGACAATCGCGTTCACTCCGGTCCAGCAGCACGAGACCGACGACAGAACCGGCCAGGTCCGGACCCCAAAATCCGGCGACGAGCGGCCCTCGATGGAGGTCTGCTTCGCCTATGCTGATGTCGATGCTGCATACAAGGTAATTCCCCCAGGACTATGTTTCTTGTATGTTCAGTTTTGTTAAGTGAGATGCTTTTTTTTACCTTCGGTTGGGATGGTGACAGAGAGCGGTGGAGAACGGAGCTACGGCGGTTAGCCCGCCGGAGGACAAGGAGTGGGCGCAGAGAGTTGGTTACGTGCGTGATATCGACGGTAACGTGGTCAGAATGGGGAGCTACGTCGCCAAACAGACGAAATGATGCTAGAGAGACGAGCGACAGAAGTTCAGAGTTCTGCAAGTGTTCCTACTTGTGTACCTTTCTCCTGCAGAAATTTGTGGTTAATTACATGGGGGCATTATGCTCCCAATCCCAGTTCCTTGAAGAACTCTGTTCACTTGCACTTCTCTTCTCCTAGCAAGCCAAATTAACATTACTGGCCAGTTCAATGATTAGACACATACAGAACCAAATCAATCAATCTGTATACTTTGGAGGGAATGAAAGAGCAATTCGACCATTGTTGACTTCTTTCGAGTTTGTAAAACCCCACTCTGATCCCCATTGCAAAAACCGAGACATAACAAGCGAAAACAGAAACACAGAAAGGTTGAAGGGGAGCCGAGAATCTGAGTGGAATTCTACAAAGGATTAACAAAATAGACAAACCATATGGTCCAGTTTCCCCCCTGACCACTTATCAAACCACCCCAGCCCCACCCAACCACCAAACCCAAAATGAATTAAGACTGATTTTTTTCTTCTTCTTGGTACACATAGCAGAGAAGCTCTTCTTCACTGGACGAAAGATCACAAGATTTCCTGTGATTTCCTAACGCAGCGGCTCACTTTCTTCTTGAATTCGTCTCTCGTCTCCCTCCACTCTTTCTGCATAAAATGAGGTCACCAGTTCAGGATTCACATCTGTGCAATCATCCCGAATTCTAACAAGTAAAAGCTACAAACTGCTGCTATCTTAGTGCTGCCACTATAGCACTTTTAACAGCGTTAAACCATACAGTGCAGCAAAGAAGCTATTACACTCCGAGGGATACCATGTCCAGGGATCTAGAAGCTGATAACATTTGCAGGCAAGAACAAACACAGGCAGTAAGCACATGTGCATATCCTACGCCGCCATACACAAAGGAACTGTGACTGACTAACGATATGACCAAATAGAACTATACAAAAGTTTCCAAGGTTGTCTATGCATCTTAATAACTTGATTCCAAGATATGAAACATGACATAAAAGAGAAAAACGGCTCCGAAACATAATTATATATCATTTGCCTAAAGCGTTGTGAACTCCACAAAAATCTCGATTTGAAGGTAGAGCATTCATATCATAATGTCAAGAAATAGCAAGACAAGACAAGCTTCATCATGAATAAGTATGACTTACTGCTGCTTCAACATTGGCAGGAGACTCATCGTTAGGACTTGACAGCATTGAGATAATACTCAACACAATACTTTCAACCTAACAGAAAACAACAGGAATTCATCAGCAATCAAGTAGCAAAAACAGAGTCGGTAAAAAAACATGGAAGTGCCCAGACCTCATAGAAGGGAAGACATCAGTCCAAATATGACAGTTAGAAAACCTATTTGAAGGCACACACATTAAGGATGGGCGCCAATACTCTCCTCTTCATTACAAAGAAGGAACACTAACACACTTTCAGCTTCACTGGCCACTATATTTATCTACAAACCAAGACATGGCAATCTAAGCTTTTATCTTTCCTGTGTCTATGAATTTCCTTTCTTCTACAAACACACCCCTGCACAATGAACTTCCCCCACAATGGCCAGAGGGTTTCCTATGTCTTCTCTACTCAGCTTACTTCTTACTATCTGTACATGCTTTTCATAGAAGTCCTTCTCAAAACCGGAGCAAAAAGATATCAGTCATTGCAAAAGCAACTTTGCGTACCGTATGAACAGGCATCCAGCGTTCACTTGCAAGCTCATAACCGTTGGGATCATCACCAGGCGGATGAAGAATCGATATGCACACTCGCCCATCGGTATAAACTGTCATTTATGCAACCAGTTGAACATTACTGGACATGTTACAGACTCGCAAAAGCTAGCGATATACATACAACAAGTACCAACCATTAGGATGCCATAGTTCGGAAGTGAACTTCACTGTTGGAGGGCTGTTTGGGTAATTGGAAGGGAAGCTCATGATGGCATTAAAGAATCCCCCTTCACTGCAACAGAAGCAATATGTTAAAACACGATGGATCCATGAAAGCAAAAGTCATCAGGTAGCACATCAAGTAAGCAAGTAATAACCAAACACAATATTCAGTGTGCCACACAAACAATCTTGATCAGCAGCACTGAAAGAAGGCAGTAGTACTGAAAATATTCAATTGTCAATACAGAAAACCCCACAATTTCATAGAATTATAACAAGCAGCAATAACAATCTCAAGAAAGCAAGCATAGGTAACCACGGGAACCCTCAAGAGCTAGTTAGCTATACAACCAAATTATAGGATCCAAAAGAAGGGCAGCAGTAAATTTAACTACTAGATGATCAAAACAAAAACTTAATCCCACAACACACAATCAGAAACAAATAGGCAGTAAAAGAGACGAACCAATTCCTGATTGAGCCAAACCCCAAAAAGGAATCCCAAAAACAGAAAGAAGTTCCCAATTCAATCTAGTCACCCTCAATCAATTAGGGAAGAAGCCCCCCAAATCCTCCAAATCACAGGAAACGGAACGAAATACACAAAACTTTAATGAAAGAGAAACATACTAAAGCGTATCCGGCGGCCCGATAATCGTCACACTCCATTCGAATATGTTGTTCTCATCGACCAGCCCCGCCGAGAACCCATCCACGGGGTTCTTGCAAAGATCTGCACCGAACAGAGGACGATCAATCGATTACCGATCCAAATCCAGCTCGAGAACAAGCTCTCGGCACAGGAATTTCCAGCCAGGGCAAAAAGCTTAAGAGAACCGCAAAGAAAATTGAAGAGTTTTTCATGGAGTTTTACCTTTAAGCTGTTTTTGGAGGAGGAGGCTAGCTTGAGACGACATGTTAGAGACTTCGGATAGCTTGGAAGGGAGGAGAGAGAGGGCAGCGTTGAGTCGGGGAGGCGGAGAAATAATAAGGAACGTTCTAGAGAGAGAGAAATAGAACGAATGAGAGATAGTTTGTTTCTTTCTTTCTTTCTTTCTTTTCTGTTCGTAAATGAAAAACTTTCAATGGAGAGGGCTTTCGACGCAGCGAAGATTCATGAAAGGCACAATTTTGGGGGAAAATAAAAAATCTAATCTCTCTCTACGAATTGATTCGGCGGCCCTCAAGAATTAATATGCAATTTATCTTTAGGCGAAAAACCGATAATGCATATTTTAATATAGAAAATGTGGTTGTGAAATTATTTATTATAGATGAAATTAGAAGAATGGCCAAGAGATTACTCTTTCCTATGATGAAACGGAATACAAGAAAAATCCTTCTTAACGAAGAAACTAAACATATCACTTATTTTTTTATTTTCCTTCTGGTGAGGATAATCCATGATTTATAACAAATTTATACCAAAAAAAGAGATATAAAAAAATAAATACAATTTACTAGCTAAATTTTTTAAAATTTTCAAATTATTAGTCAGACATTTCGAAATTTAAAAATATAGTCAAATCTTTTGTAGTTTTCTTAGTCAAAATACTAAAATTTTAAAATGTTGACATCCATGTGTCTCTTCCAACTAGGGCTGCAAACGAGCCGAGTCGAGTCGAGTTTTTGCTTAGCTTGAGCTCGGCTCGTTTATTAATTTTTCAGCTCGAGCTCGGCTCGAACTCGAATTTTGATAATTCAGCTCGAGCTCGAGCTCGGCTTGAATAAAAATAATCTAGCTCGAGCTCGACTCGGTAGAGCTCGATAAATGCTCATTAACATAGCTTGTCAAGCTGAGTACAAGCTCGACTCAAGATGAGCTTGATTTAAAATCATTTTTGCTGGAAAAATGTATAAACATAAGAATTTAAATGATAGAAAGAACACTACAAACTATAAATAACATCTAAATTTCATACACATCTGTATTAGAAGACAATGTTCATGTTTAAAAGAGTAATTCATCCTTCAACAAGCTCAAAACAAGGCAGCTCGCGAGCTTAACTCGACAAGCCACCGAATCAAGCTAGCTCGCGAGCTTATCAAGCTGAGCATGGTCTAGCTCAGGCTTGGCTCGTTAACTAACGAGTTGGCTCGCGAGCCGGCTTGTTAAATAACGAGTCGAGTGTCGAACGAGTTTTTTCCGATTCGAACGCCGAGTTGCTCGCGAGCGGCTTGGCTCATTTGCAGCCCTACTTCCAACCAAGGTTGTCAACCCGCGGGTCGACCCACTTTGACCCTGACCCGGTGAGAAAAACGGGCCGCACGCACCCGCCGGGCCGACCGCTACAAGGTACCGGGTTGGAGGTCAAATTGTGTCATTTTTTTCTTTGGTTTGCGAAATGCGCCTATTTTCCGATTTTTCTTTTCGCCTAGCTCAATTTTTGGAATGCTAAGTTGAACAGTTGAATATTTATGTTATATAAGTGTGTGTGAATTTTCACTATATGTTGGATCTACATACAATATGTTATTTTGGTGTAATATTATATGTTATAACTCATATGTTAGATAAGATTTGATATAATTTATGAGGATAAGTACAATATAATGACTTTTTCCATATTTCCGGGCCAAACTGAGCTAAAACGGTTGACCCATTAACCCTTGACCCACTAGCTCGACCGGGTCTGGGTCAACCCGCGGGTTGACAACCTTGCTTCCAACTCAGTATCATATTGCCAAGTCAATGTTATTAACAAAACTGCTAACGAGAAGTTAATATTTGGCTAATTTGAAAGGTTTTGCTAATAAATTATATATGCCCAAACAATATATTTATTATTGTTTGGAATTGGGATCTAGGTCAAGTCAAGATCGTCCTATGAAGACTTAAAAGAAAAGAAAAATGTCTAAAACTCTATAAATAGGGGTATCTTCTCCTTGAGTGCAGTTTTTTTGTTCTTGAGTGAGGTTAGAGAGAGTAGTAAAAGGTTAATGAAGAAATGGAGGAGAGCTTCCGAGGAAGATTTTTCAACACAAGAAGACCCTTCTTTTTTATTCTTTCCCTTTATTCATGTCTCTTCTACCCTTTCATAGGTAGTCTCTCAATATAATTTGAGACATAGTTCTCCCATCCTAACCATTTGAACACCTTTTTTTGCAACAAAATGTTCCCTTAATTCACTCAACAATCTCCCCATTTCATATTTCCTTCTTCCTTAGGTATTTATTTTGTTCATATATTTATGAATATTGTTAGTTGTTATCTGCTTTCGTTTTGGATTGACTAAATTAAGGTAAAATTTTGATCACTTTTCAAGTTTGGCAGAGGCTATGAATACAAAGTTCCCAACATCAATCATGGTACATATGATAAATTTTATGGTAAAATCATACAGGTGCTCGCTCATACCCTGTTTTCTCTTTCTTTGTTTGTTGTTGTGATTTATAAAAAAGAAACTATGTCATGCCTAAAGTTTTAAAAATATATTATTATGCCTATTTTACTTCTACAGAGTAATGATATTTGGGTGCAAATTCCCAAAGACAAAATTAAGGACTTTCAACACTGTTTCGTGACCAGAGAGTCTACACTATCAAGAACTTAAAGATTAATATGACAACGAGAGATTACCAGTCAATTACAAACAAATTGATCATTAAGTTTCAGTTAAACACTGAGGCTGAAACATGCAATGATATTTCAGCTATACCAACTTACAATTTCTATTTCATCAAACATGATGAGACCGAGAAGAAGTGCAAACAAAGAAAATACCTTTCAGGTTCAAATTATTATTCTCAATTCAAATTTACTTCAATTTTATGTTTCTACAACCAAACACATTAGCTTTTGGATTTTTACATTGCACAGATGTTGTTGGCCAACTTATTTTAGTATTCTGATTTACGGACAACTACTAGACTCACTAGAAAAGTTAACCGCAAACCGCTCCAATTAAAACTTCTGGAGTAAGTAATTTTTTACATTTAGTATAAAATAGCATGCATTACTTTACATCTAATAGCAAATCTAATATACTATTTGGATAAAGAGGATTGGTTATTAAAGTAACTTTCTTTGGTAGGATAGTTACCCAATTAAATGTTATCCTTACAAATATTGGTGATCACCCACTCAACCTGGTCATTACGTCATTATATGTCGATAAGTACAATGGTAAGGATACATCTAGATTATTTTATTATTAATACAAGCATTTTCAAAAAAGTTAATGACAAATAATTCAAACATCACCAAATTTGCAGGCAAGAACACCTTCGGCTGAACTGGAGCAAACTTGCTGCTGGTGAATCCAAGAATTCTGGAAGTCATTAATTTTTACCCAAGGCGAAATTCTAAAAAAAAATTATCTTCGTATTTGTTTAACTTCAAAGAACAAATAGACATTAATTAACATTATGTTTGGGTGAATAAAGTGACAGCGATGCAACAATTCCTCCAATGAAAAGCACAGGAAAAACTCAACAGTCAATCCCAAGCAAAACATTACATGAGGTTAATCAAATAAAAAATGAAAGATGAGGAAGAGGTAAGCATCAATTGCGATTTAACTAGCCATTAACTATCAAATGCTAACACTTTCTGTAATATGTTGGGAAATATATACTTCGTCAAATGCAAAGTTGTCAAGGTTAATAATGGGTGGTGCTATGCTAGATTGGAAGCATGTCCACAAAAAATTCGAAGAAAACTCCGACGAGTACTTTTGTGGGAATTGTACAAAAACATTAAAAAAAACGACAACATCAAAGTAATACATCCATTGTTAATATGAAATTTAATCTGGTATATTTCATTTATGAATATACAAGCTAAGTGATCGGATATTTAATTCTAAAAACATTATTATGTATTTGTAGAATTCAAAGATTATATTACTGATGCATTAAGAAAGGACATTCCCTAATAATTAGCAAAGCATGGTACTGATACAAGCAGAAAGCTTATGTATGTATTAAAATATTAAATTAGATATGTTTAACATAAAGAGATTCCAAGAGATTGGTGTGTTATATTAAAAATGGATATGAGAATGAGGTTATGTTTTCCTTCTACACATCTATTGTACCTAATGAGACTATTTTCGTATTATTTATTGAATAATTTAGAGATTTTGTATTTACCATCTAAAAATAACGTATACTTCAACAATTTTTAGTGTTTTATATTATTACCGTCATTATACAAATTCGGGATCAACTTTCGAGTTGCGGACAAAACAAGAGTGACTGACTTTGTTGTCATGGATAGAGTGGGAGCTCACTTTTTTAGAATGTCGACAGAAAGGCTATTCAAAGAGAACGATAGAATTAGAGGACCACCACTTGCTCATCTCATATAAATTGAGGGAATGACATTGCAGTTCGACATCAAGCTCATAGATTACAACACCGCTAATCAAGTGGGTACACAATTATCAAGATAGGGAAGGATGAGGAAGAGCAGACCACCGCCGATATTCTCGACTTGATCGAGGTAATTTCTATTTGAATCAAAATGATGATCAACATTATTTACAAGTTATTGCTATTCTCTATTGGATTTGGATAATTATACCATGCACCTCTCATACTTTATATTATCTAATCTTTAGTGATATCATGCAAAGGCCGGATGAAAGGAGCTGTGGGTTTAATTAATAGAATTGGCTTGGATGAAGGGAGCCGATGGTTTAATTAATAAAATTGGAATTTAGTTATGTAACGGTCATCCTGAGCTTGCTGCAAAGTTGGAAAACACCCTTTTATTTCTTTCACCGCCTTCTTAGAAATATGGAGCATATAATATTTTCCGACTATAATTTTATCTATAATATATATTGACCAATCATTTTGATTCAAATAGAAATTACCTCGATCAAGTTGGGAATATTGTTGGTAGTCTGCTCTTCCTCATCCTTTCCTATTTTGATAATTTTGTACCCACTTGGATGAGGTAAATTCTACTCCAATGAAAAACATGATTTGTATTTGGAAATATATTTTAACATCAAATTTTTGTGTTCAATGAAATGCAGGAAAACAAGGAAGAGAAAACTGAAATCAAAGAGAAGAAGGAAGAATCAATTGAAATTGGAGATAAATGTGTCGCTAATGGATATGAAGACATTATCAATGGTGGCAATGAGGTTGTTGCTCATGCCGGAGAAAATGCAAACAAGCCAAAAAGAACA